CCCGCCAGGAAGGTAGGTAACATTTGGCAACCCTACACCTCAGGAGGATATAATGTCCTAGAGTCCACCCTCCAAAGCAGCCATTTTCTCCAGGGGAACTGACCGTGGTCATCTAGAGGTCAACTGGAACGGTGGGAGTTCTCCAGGCACCACCCAGAGGCTGGGAACCCTAGTAGGCAAGCCAAGAGCCACTGCAAGGAGAAGATGCAACGGGACTCAGGGGATTCAGGAGTTTTCAGCGAGCCCCCTGCTGAGGTCAGGGGCCTTAGCAAGTGCTCTACAATGCAACCTTTTGGTGCCAGCCCTGCCGTCAACAAATACTTTGCAGGATTCAGGCTTTCTCCCCTCTCAACATTTATGCAGCGAACATGCATATAAACATATGGTGGAACGAGCTCCCGGAAGACATCAGGGCCCTGCGGGACCTTTTACAGTTCCGCAGGGCCTGTAAAACGGAGCTCTTCCACCAGGCCTTTAGGTAAGGAGCCGTGTCTCGTAATCTAAGACCCTGTGCCCAACACCACCATCCATCTTGAGCCTGCCAGCAGAAAAATCACTCGCTGACCGTAATCTATAAGTTTCCTGCTACTATTGCACCGCCACTGTCATATAAATCATTTTTAGTAATTATGTTGTGTTTTATGAGGATATTTATATCGATGTTTTTATTTGTTATTCATTTGTCGCAATTTTGTGTAAGCCGCCCTGAGCCTGCTTCGGCGGGGAGGGCGGGGTACAAATCAAATAAATACATCAGATAAATTATACCAGATTCAGCCTTTGGTTCACCTAGTTCACTATTGTCCGTTCTGTTCTACCAGCAGCTCTTGAGGGTCTGAGTCTGAGAACAGTCCTGCTACCTGAGATCCTTCAACTGGAAATGCCAGGGATTAAACCTGGGGCTCTTGGCATGTATCACACACGCTTACCGCTGAGCTATGGCCCCACTGGTATTTCATGCCCCCCTATGCGTATTCGTTTCACTGTCTGTGCAGATTCTCCATGCTTGCAATGGTATGTGTGTAGCACATTCTCTGTGCAGTTGGGAACTCTTGCCTTTTCAGGGTACCCAGCTGCATACAGAGGAGAACAACCTGTGTCCACAGCGGCATGCATCCGGGCCCTGCACAGACCTTCAAATGGAGACTCATAAATCAGGGAGGGATCTGCCTCCCGCATCTCACTCTGCGACAATGCAAACTCAGTGCACACTTAATGTCGATATCACTGGTAACAATGGCTTTATCTGCAGTTATTTGCTTATCTATTGATTGAATTAGACTTTTAAACCACCTTCACGTGCAAACCAGGGCTCAGGGTGGTGTACAACAATAAAAGTAGACATATGTTAATTAGCGATAAAAATAAAATAAAATCCGGTAAAATACAAGAAGCAACCTAATATGACCAGGGGTCGTTTAGTGGAAAAAGAGCTAGGGGAACTCATTAGCATAACTCATTAGCATATGCCACACCCCCTGACATCACCGGAAGTGTGTCATACGGCCACACCCCCTGACATCACCGGAAGTGTGTCATAAGGCCACACACCCCGCCCCCAACGGTCCCGGCCGACACCGCCGGCCTTGCAGCTCTACTGCCGAGCCCTATGAGGGGCCCGGCGGTGGACCTGCAAGGCCGGCAGGAGTGCAAGGAAGCCCCGCCAAGGCCCTCCCTGGCCCCAGGCAGGCAGGGGTGGGGAGAGGCAGGGAGGAAGCAACTTACCCTCCCTCTTCTCCTGCCCCCTCCTAGCTGAATGAGGGCCGGAAGTGGGGCGGCCAGAAGCAGGGGGCGGGACTTCGTCATGTGCCCCCCCCGTACCTCACCCGGGGGAACTGCGATCCCCCGCGATCCCCCGAAATGACCTCTGAATACGATGACACTAAGACGACTGATTATGCCACTGCCCCGCGGGGGGAGGTGGGAGGTAGGAAGACAAGAGCACCAGACAGATGGAGACCATGGCCGTCCTCAACCGAATGCCTGGTGGAACATCTCTGCCTTACAGTCCCTGCAGAATCACATCAGATCTTACAGGGCCTGTATGTTATTCAGCAGAGAGTTCCACCAGGTTGGGGGGACAGCCAGATGTCTCTTGGTCCGAGGACCACCAGTAAGATCTTATCTACCAAGCACAGTACTCTCTGGGAGGGGGGTACACCAGGAGAGGTGGTCCTGAAGGTACGTGGGTCCCAGACCATTAATACCAAAACCTTGAACCTGATCCAGTAATCTACCTGGAGCCAGTGAAGCTCATGAAGGATAATTTTGCGAGCCGAGTGTGTGGTCCACGATGACCCCTCTCCCTCCCTCCAGCTGATCGGTGGGCAACGTGGTTCCCCGCTATTCAGCTGAAGCCCTTTAAATCTGATAGGAGGGGAGAGAGAGGGGTGGCTGGGCAGGTGGTTGCTATTGGGGGTTGAGCTTGAGGGGCGGGGCTTGGGGAATCCCCACCTACCCCCAGAATGCCCCCCCAAATCCCCCTGGCGGTGTGACAAGGGGGCCTGGCAACCCTACCTGCAGCTGGAGGATGGTGGCAGGGCAAGGGTTCCAAAGAAGAAGAGGAGGAGGAGATTGGATTCATATCCCCACCTTCACTATCCAAAGGAGTCTCAGTGCGGCTTACCATGTCTTTTCTCCCCCCTCCCCACAACAGATGCCCTGTGAGGGAGGTGGGGCTGAGAGAGCTCTCACAAGAACTGCCCTTGAGAGAACTTGTGACTGACCCAAGGTCACACCAGCAGCTGCATGTGAAGGAGTGGGGAATCAAACCCGGTTCTTCCAGATTAGAGCCCCCAGCATGCTTTTCTCAGGGCTGAGTGTGGGACAGCTGCTCCAGCTGCCCTATGGTAAAGAACACAGATGAATGCAGCTACATGTTTATTCTGGGATACATAGGCACTACCGATGTCTCTCGTGATAAGTATAACATCTAATATGTTCTGAGCTATAAAAAGGTAAAGGTAAAGGTTCCCTTGCTCGAAAGCCAGTCGAGTCCGACTCTAGGGTTGCGGTGCTCATCTCCGTTTCAAAGCCGAAGAGCCAGCGCTGTCCGAAGACATTTCCGTGGTCATGTGGCCGGCATGACTAAACACCGAGGCGCACGGAACGCTGTTACCTTCCCACCGGAGTGGTCCCTATTTATCTACTTGCAATTTCTTGCTTTCAAACTGCTAGGTTTTGGTTAAAAAACAGAGGGGGGAAAATGGCTGGTTAAGAGTGTTGGACTAGTTTCTGGAAGGCCCTGGGTTCGAATCACAGCTCGTGCCATGCAAGCTCGATAGGTGACCTTGGCCCAGTCGCACTCTCTCAGCCTAACCTAACCCAAAGGGTTGTTGTGAGGACAAAATGGAGAAGAGGAGAACTACCCCCAGAATGCCCCCCAAATCCCCCTGGCGGTGTGACAAGGGGGCCTGGCAACCCTACCTGCAGCTGGAGGATGGTGGCAGGGCAAGGGTTCCAAAGAAGAAGAGGAGGAGGAGATTGGATTCATATCCCCACCTTCACTACCCAAAGGAACTTGTGACTGACCCAAGGTCACACCAGCAGCTGCATGTGAAGGAGTGGGGAATCAAACCCGGTTCTTCCAGATTAGAGCCCCCAGCATGCTTTTCTCAGGGCTGAGTGTGGGACAGCTGCTCCAGAACGCTGTTACCTTCCCACCGAAGTGGTACCTATTTATCTTCTTGCAATTTCTTGCTTTCAAACTGCTAGGTTGGCAGGAGCTGGAACTAGAGATGGGAGCTCACTCCATCATGCGGCAACTCGGGTCTCCAACTGCTGAACTACTGACCTTCCACAGCCTGCAGTTCAGGGTCTTAACCACTTGAGCCACCACAGCTCAAGGTAAGTATAACATCTAATATGTTCTGAGCTATAGGCAAATGTAAATGAATCCATCGCAGAGAGGAAGGGTTAGTTCACCTAGAGCACGGGTCCACCAACGTTTTCAAGCTGTCGTGTACCTTTGGAATACTGAAAGAGGGTGGCGAACATAACTGCAAAATGGCCGCCCCGGTAGGTGGAACCAAGCACAACATGACTGCTGCAGGAGGTGGAGCCAACCACAAATGTCTGGGAGTGAGGCTATGCATAACTCTAACAGTAACTTTTCAACACTTAAGGCAGAAGCTCTCTTCAACGGAACGCTGTTTAAAGTGAACATATTGTTTAAGAAATTTTCTTGCACATATTTCTTGTAAATAAATCAACAAATAAGGTGTAAATCCTTATGCTGCAGCAGCAGCAGCTACTGCCAAAGCGACTTTTTTAAAAAAAGATGCACAGCCAATCAGATATCCAGTGGCCAATCAGAAGCCCTGCTAGACAGACGACCCACTTGGCCCCACCCACTTTGTAAAAACACCCGGTGGGCGCCAGGGATGGTGTTGGTGGGACACCATGGTGCCCCAGGGTACCATGTAAAGGACCCCTTACCGATAATATTACATTCGTTACAGTGTCACAGCCAAGATGATTTCAGGGCGCACCTAAAACCGCAACACGGGGACGTGATCATGATGCGTTTGCGAACACTGTGCATCATGCAGAGATACTTCTCAGAGAGTCCGCATTGGTGGCCGCCAGTTCTCGAGGGGACAACCCAGCTTGGCGTCATGTGTGAAACACACTAAGAGACAGGCTTAAGACAAACCCGCAGACCAGAATGCCCAGATGGAGCCCAGTTACAGCTAGGGTCTCTACTGTGCAGCATCATCATTAACCCGGACCTGCTAAAGAGTTCCAAGAAGCCACAATTTCTTCCAAGGTGCCCACACGCTTGTCCTCCTCATTCCAACGCAAGCTTCCCATGCCTCCTCACTGAGAGTTGAGGGCTATTATTATATGTTTGGAAGCTCAGGGACACAAGAGGGACTTTTAAAAGGAACCTTCCCCCCCCCCCCCCCATAAGAACAGAGAATGGGGGAATAAGCGGTAAAATCGCAGCCGGAGCCACACTGCCAAAAGGTAACTAGCAGATAGGCGTCTCGGGAACCGACCTTGTCTGTCCTGCAATTATTCAGACCCAGGTTGTTTGCGATGGCCACCTTTCCGTCGAGCACCTGTTGTTCTCTCCGTAGCTGCTCCTTCATCTGCCGGGCTTCCTGGATCGCCTTGGTAACAGCATCGTGGTCATTTAAGTAGCCTGACGACGTGATAGAGGAAAGGATATCTGGAAGGAGGGCAGAGGGGCAGGGGACACAAACAGAAGCACAGTTACCAGGAAACACGGCCAGCTAGGAGCATCACACAATTCAGCACGCTCTCTCTGATGGACGCAACACCGACGCACCGGCAGTGCGCGTCTTGATTGGTTTCTCGTTTTTGTTTGGACATCCGGTCCTCGCCGACTGACGCCAACCCTTGATGCGGTTTTCAAGGCGAGAGATGAACAGAGGTGGTTTGCCATGGCCTGCCTCTGTCTAGCGACCCTGGACTTCACATAAACCTGCCTCATACAGAATCTTAGTCCATCAAGGTCAGTATTGGCGACTCAGACTGGAGGAAGGAGGAGGAGGAAGAGGAGACTGGATTTATACCCCACCCTTCACTCGGAGTCTCAGAGTGGCTTACAATCTCCTTTCCCTTCCCCTCCCCACAACAGGCACCCTGTGAGGTGGGTGGGGCTGAGAGAACTCTTTGGAGGAATGCCCCTGAGAGAATAGCTCTGAGAGAACTTGTGACTGACCCAAGGTCATCCAGCAACTGCATGTGGAGGAGTGGGGAATCAAACCCTGTTCTCCCAGATTAGAGTCTGCGCACTTAACCACTACATCAGACTGGCTCTCCAGGGTCTCAGGTGGAGGGCTCATCCATCACCTCTCACCTGGTCCTTTTAACTGAAGATGCCGGGGATTGAACCTGGGACCTTCTGCATGCCAAGCAGAGTCTCTTCCACTGAGCCACAGCCCACTCCCATCCAAGTACTAACCATGGCTGACCTTGCTTAGCTTCTGAGGTCTAACAAGATTGGGTTAGCCTGGGCAATCCAGGTCAGGGCTGATTATTACTAGGGGTGAATTATACCGTTACATTGTGTATAAACCGTATAAACGGTCTCGGTTTTAATCCCCCCATTCCTTCAAAAGAATGAAGTAAATATTAGCATCTCGAGAGTTATTGTGAGGCTATTTAAAGTCCAAGGATGCTGAATACTCTTCCCCCCCACCCCAATCAAGTCATACTAATACATTATGTATTGTAGGCCAAAAAGAACAAAATCAATCACACATGAATTATTTCATGTCTCTTGTTACAAGCTACTGGTATTCCTGTTTTACATATAGCGATTGGAGGGTCAGGGTGGGGTGACTTCCTTCCAAGTCAGTAGCAGTCCCGGGATCCAAACACAGGACAGGCCTTGTAAGCAGTGTCCCCTCTAAGCTGAGTTAGTGTGAGCTGGCTCACAGTTCCTTAGCCTCCGGCTCACACATCTTTATCTTAGCTCAGGAAGGATGGCTCCAGAGCAAACTAATTGATGCCGTAGCCAAATTGCTGGCTCACAACTTTAATGCCAGTAGCTCACGAAGTAGAATTTTTGCTCACAGGACTCCACAGCTTAGAGGGAGCATTGTTTGCAAGTTGAGCCTTCTGGCCGTTGGCCTGACTGCATTTGTTCTATGCACTGAAACAATACATCAGAACATTTCCCCCACACACACACACACACACGAATCTTTTTTCTAAACGATCTATGTTTTGGTCAATATCTCTGCTGCCTGATCCTTAGGAATGTAACCCGGCTAACGACCGTAATCAAAACAGGCAAAATGAAATACTGCTTAATTTAACCCTCTGTAGGGTTCCCAAACGGCGGCGGGGGATCCGCGCGTGTTCGCAGGATCGCTGCCGCGGGGGACAGCGATCCGCGCTGCACCGGCGTCGCCAGGATGTGACGCTATGCGTCTCCCTGGCAACGGGACTCCAAACAGCCCCGTTGCCAGGGCGACGCATAGCGTCACATCCTGGCGACGCCGGTGCAGCGCGGATTGCTGTCCCCCGCGGCAGCGATCCTGCGAACACGCGCGGATCCCCCGCCGCCGTTTGGGAACCCTAACCCTCTGCCACAAGAAGTGCTGCTAACAACAATCAGCTTTAAAGAAGAAGAGGAAGGCATAGGTTTGGCTGCAGCTACCAAGGACAGAGTTAGGAAAAAAGGTATAACCCATAGTAGCTGAATGGAACCTCCGCATGCACAGCCCGTATACCTCCCAGGGCTCTTTTTGTAGCAGGAACTCCTTTGCACACCCCTAATATAGCCAATCCTCCAAGAGCTTATAGTAGCCCGTGTAAGAAGAGCTCTGTAAGCTCTTGGGGGATTGGCTATATTAGGGGTGTGCAAAGGAGTTCCTGCTACAAAAAGAGCCATTGGCAGAGGATGTTGTGGGATGCTTGTTTGGAGGGGGGGGGAACAGAGTATAAATAAAAACAGAATGATAGAGTAGAAGATCTTTCAGCCTAAGACAGCAAAGCTATTCTTTCCGGAGTAGCCCATTCTTCATTCTCCGGTCCTTTGCCTTTTGACCCTGGCCTTCTTTGTGCAACTCGGACAGCCCCATAGCTACAATGGGGCATTTGGGGGCCTGGCCCCTCTGACTTCCTGCCACGGCCCCCTGACTTTCATCCATCCCCCAGGTCCCCCGGCTCTGTGGGCCACCCAGAGGACTCCTGTTTCTCTGGGCCACCTGGAGGACTCCCCACCACTGCCCCTTCCCCAAGTGTGGCTTGCTTCCCTGCGTAGGCAAGCAGGGTGTAAATGCTGCAAACGCGAGTTTTGAAATGTTTTATTTTTTATTTTGTGATGTCAGTGCCTCCCCCTAAAATTACAAAATCCTGGCTACGGGCCTGAACTCAGATAATAAGTTCAGGGGACAGGTCAGCCGTGTACAGCATCTAGCATGGTTCCGCATGCATTACAACCAGTGCTGCCCCACATAAAACACTCCAGAGCGGGTTGCGGAATGATAATTACCCTTCACGGAGCAGACGAAAAGCCAAGGTTTATTAATCTGGAATTAAAATCTCTTCCACCCCCACCCACCCCCCTTCCTTAAACCTCCAGATACATTTAGAAACCACAGGTGGTGACGCTTCGCTTTGCCATGGGAAGACTGAGCAGATAAATCTCCTCCATGGAATGTCAGTCCCACCCCTCCCCACGCCACCTGTCATTCAGAAATGTCTAAGGAACACCAGGAGCCATGTTCATTCCCACCCTGCTATCTCCAGGTCAGACTGCAGTGTACATATACACGTACATACATGTACACGTACATACATATACACACATACGGGTCTGCCGAGGGTTTAGCCACCGTAGCAGCTGAAATGATCCCCGCTAAAACATTGCAAGCATCCTTGGATGTTCTTTCCTTTTGAACGTGTCACTGTGTAATGCTCCCCCCTCCCCCTAACCATCTCTGACCGGATGTAGCTTATACTCATTACGATATGCCTTTGGTTCCCCCCCCCTGCTTTTTTGCAGCTTGCAAAAGGTTCCAAACCCCAGGTCTATTTCGATGTTTCTTTGGGGGGAGAGTTAATATCTAAGTGGGTTTCCCCACCCACCTTCCCGATCACTTCTGCCCTCCTCCCCCCCGTGCATGTTTTAACCAGGGCATCGGCGAAGCATTTTTTTTTTTTCCCAAAAGAGCCTCAAAACTGTAATATGAAATTGCCCGGAAAAGGGGCTTCTGTTTGTGACATGAGGCTAAATCTAACCAGATCCGTCGGTGAATTGTAACAGATGGAGGGGCTGAGAAGACAGAAGGCTAGCACTAATCAGGCACAGAATGACCGGCTTGCCTCAACATGTTCCATGGATTCCAGCAAACTTTACCACCCTAATCCATTTTTAGAACACAAAACATCTGGGCCATAAATCCTCTAATCTGCCAAAACACGCTATTAAATCCCATGATTTGTTGAAAAACACTAAGATTAAAGAAAGGAAATATAAAATGGCTAACTGCCGTGTGAGGGAAAGTGTTATTAATACTCTTCCCCCCCCCCCTTTTGTCTCAATTATGGATGTTCTGTTTCTAAAGAGCCTTGTCTAATCATGTCCGATTACACATTCTTGGTGTATCGCTCGCGCCTTCTATCTGATCTGCCGATTGCCAGAGAATGCACAAACGTCGTCTCCTTGGCACTCCGGGCTTGACAGCCTTTCGGGGGAGAGAAGCCGATGGCAGATTCGTTTCAGGCCCGAACCGTTGCGACGTTTCGGGCTGTTGTCGCTGGTTGTGTTTGTGTGTTTATAATGGTTTCAAAGCTTCGGTTGGAACCTCTTGCTTCCTTTGAAAACAGGGCTGCCAGCTCTGGGTTGGGAAATACCTGGAGATTTTGGGGGTGGAGCCTAGAGAGGGTGGGGTTTGGAGAGGGGAGGAACCTCATCCGGGTATAATGCTATACAGTCCACCCTCCAAAGCAGCCACTGTTTTCCAGGTGAACCGACCTTGGTCATTTGCAGATCAAGCGTAATAGCGGGGGATCTTTGGGTGCCACCTGGAGGTCGACAGTCCTATTTGGAAATCAACCCCCCCTCTTCTTTGTGTAAATGCTGATTCAAGTGTGGGTGTGGGGAGCTAAATTAGAGTCCATCATAAAGAATGAAGTGGACTCTATAGATTGGTGGGAGAGTCACTTTTCAAAACGTTTTCCCACCAATGCAAAAAGCTCCATCCATGTTAGGGTTACCATCCCCCCAGTCGGGGCAGGGGATCCCCTGATTTTGGGGGGCCCAATCTGCCACCGGCCAGCTGACTGGTGGGGGAAATCCCACCTCCAAACAGCAGCGTCCCACAGGGATGCCGCCAACATGATGATGTCACTGGTACTGATGTCATCATACTGGGGGCATCGCACAGCGATGCTCTAGCATTCGAGGGGGGACTCCATGGTTACCATAGAGTTTTTGCCCTGAACGCTAGAGTGTCACCGCACAATGTCCCTGGCATGATGATGTCACTTCTGGTGACGTCATCGCATCAAGGAGCTGGGAGCCTGCTGCCATGGGAAAGGTAAGACCTGGCAACCCTACTCCTTGTAGTACTCTAGCATACCAGGGAGACTTATGTCGCCACTTGCCCAACACTTTGATCCATCCTAGGCACACATACAGGGCTCAGTTGCGACTTTTTGTCA